TGCTTCGGGTCGTTGTCATGTTGGAAGACCCAGCCACGACCCATCTTCAATGCTCTGGCTGAGGGAAGGAGGTTGTTGCTCAAAATCTCACAATAAATGGCCCCATTCATCCTCTCCTTAATACAGTGCAGACGTCCTGTCCCCTTCGCAGAAAAGCACCCCCAAAGCATGATGTTACCACCCCTATGCTTCACAGTAGGGATGGTGTTCTTGGGATGCAACTCATCCTTCTTTTTCCTCCCAACACGATGAGTGAAGTTTAGACCAAAAAGTTCTACTTTGGTCTCATCTGACCACATGACTTTCTCCCATGCCTCCTCTGGATCATCCAGATGGTCTTTGGCAAACTTCAGACGGGCCTGGACGTGTGATGACTTGAGCAGGGGAACCTTCCGTGCAATGCATGATTTGAAACCATGACGGCGTAGTGTTCTACTGACAGTGACCTTTGAAACTGTGGTCCCAGCTCTCTTCATGTCATTGACCAGCTCCTCCCTATCGTTCTGGGCTGATTCCTCACCTTTCTTATCATCAGTGATACCCCACGAGGTGAGATCTTGCATGGCGCCCCAGTCCGAGGGAGACTGACAGTCGTCTTTAGCCTCTTCCATTTTCTAACAATTGCTCCAACAGTTGATCTATTTTCACCAAGCTGCTTGGCAATTGCCCCGTAGCCCTTTCCAGCCTTGTGGAGGTCCACAATTTTGTCTCTGGTGTCTTTTGACAGCTCTTTGGTCTTGCCCATGGTAGTAGTTGGCGTCTGACTGACTGTGGGGTGGACAGGTGTCTTTAAAGAGCTCAGACAGGTGCTACTAATTTAGATTAATGAGTGGAGTAGAGGTGGACTTTTTCAAGGTACAGTAACAGGTCTTTGAGAGCCAGAATTCTTGCTGTTTCTCAGGTGTTCAAATACTTATGTTCCTCACTGTATATAATCACACTTTACTGGTGTTGTAAAAAATGTCAAATAAACGTTTTTTTTTTTCAAATCACATGAAAACATTAAATAAAGTTCATTTTGTAAAATGTTTTTTAAAACAGCCTGCTCACTGACCTCCTCTACAGAGATTGCTGCATCCACATGTAGGTTAGGCAGGTGGATGGTGTAAGGTTTCCCTTCAGGGGTCTTTGGTTTGCTTTGCAACAGGCCTATACAGACATCATAGCTCTCCAGGGCAGACTCCATATCTCCCTGACAAAAGACAAGCATGACAGACTTAAAAGTCACATCTGAGAGGAAAAGACTCATTATAATCAAAAGCCCTACAATACAGACTTTACCTGCAGGGCCAAGAATCGTGCCTTGAGCCAGTAGACACGCACCATGACATCTAGCCAGTCATCCTCAAACAGGTCTCTTTGGGATGAACCTAAGGCCAAAAGAAAGGTATCACCCTGAAAGTGCTGCCCAGGGAATTCTGAGTCAGCTGCATCACTGCCAGGACCAATACTGCTTCTTCTTGGAGACACTAGAGAAAAGAGAGGGGGAAAAAAAAAAAAAACACTATAATTTTTATATGTAACATAGTAAGTGAAAACATCTTGTTCCCCAGAGTTTAAAATTTAACACACTGGCATCATGTTTAGAGCTGCATCTGCATTGCCCCCCATGGGCCAATCATTACAATTCTCACAATGACAAAATCCACATTTAGGTCAAATTGTTGTCAGCAATGCCTAAGATATAGCATATGACAGATGGACAAAAAGTGAATCAACACAGTAGACTTTTGGACAGCATATTGCATCTTCAAATCACTGCAGCATAGTGGTCAAAAAGTTTATTTGTCATATGCACAGTTAGGAAACATGTTTCCCTGTACAATGAAATTCTTACTTTGCCGTGCAGCATCTAAGTCTGGTCTAAGTGATAAGCGCTAGCTTGGTAGTACTTACCAGTCTTCCCTTTTTTGCATAACCATTGGTCCATCTTCAACTCCATACACGCTAAGCTCATTGCCAACATTTCCTATACATGTAGCAGATATAAACACTTATTAGAGGTCATTGTGGGGACAAAATATGAGGCCAAATCTGATGAAAAACTAGTTATGTCCCTGTTTACAATTTAAGAAAATGTAAACATTTTAGATCCTGAAATGGAGGTGAGTCTAAAAATATCAGCAGTATCTGGGACAACACCAATGTTTGAATTTTAACACACACTAATCTTTAAGATGTACCACACCAAAATGAACATGCTGAAATAATTGTGATTCAAGAATTTTTCCTTCATTATATTTTGCAGTGAGCAATATCTGTTAGTGAGGAACTCAACCTAAAACCATTAACATCTGCAATCTAATTAAAAATTCAAGTAGTCAAGAAATCACCCAGTTTGCATGTGGTTTACCCGGATGTGACGGTTGCTGCAGTCCCGAAGCAGAGGGTTAGGAAAACCGCTGCTATGTTTCCTCCAGGTCTGATAGATCTCCAGAACCACAGCAGTCAGTCCCCGAGGCCACTCCTCCATGAACTTCTGACCCACTGCTTTCAGATAGTGCATCATCAGGTCCAGTATACCTCCATTGGTCATATTACTGAGCAGGAAGTTATGGACATCCTGTTGTTCTACAAAAGGCAATGCAGTTTTTTAATACAACAGAAATGGTAATTAGGCATAGCAGCACATTGTTAATATATGACTATGATGCACAACACACCAGATGCCATGTATTCAACTGAGTCAGCAGGCAAGCAACTGCCACGTAGAGGCTGTACATCTTCTTTCCCATCACAGTGCGTCTCGAGATTACTCAGACTCTCATCATCATTATCAGGATCAAACTTCTTTAGCCTAAGAAAAACCAGCACAATCGTTTTTTCCCTCAACAGAACTTGGACAAGCTAGGTATTACAGTATATCAGAGGTGTGGTGCAAGCTACCTGGAAGGAAGGTATTTAAAAAGCAGTTCCTGAAAATCTATCTTTTCTTCTTTCTTGCATTTTGTGTTGCGAACACGTGCTGAGCGCCGCTTCGCTGTCTCTCCACTATCTTCAATCCCACGTTTCCTTTTAGGAGCTTTCTTCACTTTATCTGTCACAGACACTTCCAGTGCAGTAGCTGTGAATATATATATATATTACAAAATATTAGTTAAACATAAGGCTAATACTTATTTATAATAATCTGTAGGCAGCCAACATATAAACGTCTCTTTAAAAACTAACCAACAGTGGGAGCAGAGGTGATGATCTCTACAGTTGTCTGGGTGGGGGTAATATGAGGTCGGGTGACTGGTTGGGGCAACACTGCTGGCTCAGGGAAGGCCACTGGTGGCAGGGATGAGCTGGGGCTGCTGCTCAGCACTGTGGTCTGGCCCATACTGACAGGGCTGCTGGGCTGGGGGAGGTTCTGGTGGAAGTTTGGGTCACTGTACTCTGACAAATCAATTCTGCAGCCAAGACTCGGGCGTGGTGGTTCACATGTGGTTTGATGTCTGTACATTGCAAGAAGGCTTTCACCTACATGCTTCCATCTGAGATAAAAAAAAGAAAGAAGTGTTTATTAAAATTAGCTCAAAGGTTCTAAAAATTAAGAAAAAAGAAAACAATTACTTCCAAGTCACACCAACAGCTTAAGTGCACTGTATCCCTTTTCGCATTTTAAAGCTTTGCAAGTCAGCTTTGCCTGAGTATTAACTGGCCTATCGCTCACTTCCTGCACAGCACTGAGACTGCTCTGGACAAGGTTATAAATGACTTGCTGCTTGCAGCTGATGCAGGCCAGTATTTAATTGTAATTCTCCTTCACCTCAGGTCTTCTTTTGATACAGTGGATCATAATGTCTTGTTCATTCATCTGAAAAACTATGTTGGCATCGGTGATGTGGCTCTGGATACCTAAACAAGATCAGGTCATCCCTTTCATCTGCAGGTCTAGAACAGGTCATCCATGTTTGTCTCCTTCAGAGTGGACTACTGCAGCACTCTTTATTCTGTATCAGCAGCTGCAGCATTCAAGGCAACATGGCCAGGCTTTTAACATGCTCAAGGAGCAGTGACCACATCCTTGCTGTCCTTTAATGGTTACCCATGAGTTTAAGGATTGATTTTACTGCTTGATTTTAATCTTTCAGTGGTCAGGCTCCTACTTGTATATCTGTAATATCCGGACTCCCTATGAAGCTGACTGCTGCCTTACTAAAGTTCTTGACTTATCACTAAAGCTGCCTTTGCTCTCTGAGCCCCTCAGCTGTCAAACTCCCTGCCTGATAAACTCAGTCAAATCTGGTGTCCTCCTTTAAGGCAAGGCGAGGCAAGTTTATTAACACAGCACATTTTCACACCCAAAGGCAATTCAAAATACAAATTAGGCTAAAATACTAGATGCAAATTAAAAGCAACAAGACATTAATTTAAATCTCTTCTTTAAACTCACCTTTATCACATTACATTTCTTAACTGATATATTGTAATTATCATGTTTTAGATTTTTTTGTCTTTATTACTTTTATTCTTCATTTCTTTCATTTCTTCTTCACAGAAAGACAAAACACTTATGCTCAACTCTCAACTGCTCTTCTCATTTAAATTATTTTCAAATGAGAAGAGCAGTTGAGAGTTTAAACTCAACCATCAGGAAAAACAGAACAGGTCGCAGACACACAGCAGCACACTGGACTCACGAGAGACAGTGGATGGGCTGAATGAGGACAAGATCAGGTTTTGGTTCAGAGTGAGAGAGAGCCTGTCTGCGCTTCCGTATCTCCAGTGCCTCTTCCACAATGGATTTGCGTTCCTCTTCCTCCACTTCTACATAGTGAACAGACATATCACTGCAAATAACCAGAACCACAACGCAGATATTTGTAAGTAACGTGAACATACAGAGCTGCAGACAGAGCACATTATAATATATAGAGGAATAAAAAAAATAAAAAAAAGAGATACTTCACCATTTCATGAACATGTGCATCGTGTCCTTCTTCAGACAGGGCTGCTCTTCAAAGATTTTCTCCTTCAACACCAGGCCTTTAGTGTAACAGTGATCCTTCTCTAGGGCTTTGGCAATGAAGTACAAACAGCCTGGGAAAATGAATACAGATCGTTTTTTTCCTCATTCTGTACTTTGGCAGAGGTAATGAGAGGATAAAGAGCTTATGATGAAGTATTACATACAGGTGTAATCACTGAGTATGTATAGAATAGTTATGAGGTTGTCCAGGCAGGGCCAGTGGTCTGGGTTACAGCGTAATCCCTCCTCAAAGGCATGTCGAGCCAGAGGAATGCGCAGCAGTCGCACAGCCACCTGACCAATTTTATACCACATGTTCACATCGGTGGAATCCAACATAACTGCCTAAAGATAAGAACAGAACAGAAAATATGGTGAGAACATTCACCACAGTATTATTCACATGCATAAAAAAACTGCCACTGCTTGATTGTTTTACCTCCAAATAAAACTCCATAGCGGTCTCCAGGTCATCCCGTGTTGCAGCCATACTAGCCAAGTTTTTAAAAGTAGAATATTTCAACATCAGTCCAGGATGTTTGAGACCCACTCTCTGATCATCCGAGGGCATGGCCTAAGACAATGGAGGATACATCAAATATGGCACCAAACACAGGATAATGCAAATTCATCTCAAAGCCATCGAGTCATTTGAATAAGAATGCAAAATGCTCCAGTGCGTGGGAAGGGTTTGTGCTGCCACAAAGCAAAATTAAGGTGCATTCTGCACATTTTATTTAATTAATGAAAATTCATTATGGCGCCTAATCTGAATTTTTAGATAGTAAATATTGGTGCAGCATTAGAGAGAAAACAGAAATATTTGGCCCAAGTATCCCATCACAAACTTCACAGAAGACGTGATATTTGAACAATATTTCAAACCTGAAAATGGATGAACACATCAAACAGCCACACCAAGAACCAAACACATAACTTCACAAGTGAAGACCATTTCAGCACCATTTTCCGAAATTAATAGAACTATTCCAAGAACTTAAACAATTAACTTACTTACTAATGCAGTATACTGTATGTGAAATATTTTAATAAGAAGAACAAATCAAAAATTACCTCTTGGTTCCATCCTGAGAAAGCATGGTGCCCTTTTTCATTGTTATGCTGATGACATTCAGATTTATAATGCCACTAAAGAGGAGAGATAACTTTTCAATTAGGCCACTATTGGATATGTCTTGATGACGTCAAGGACTGGATGACACTAAACTTGTTAAAACTTAATGAGACAAAGACTGAAGTAACAGTGTTTGGCCCAAATAAGTCTGGTGACCCACCCTCAGTTGACTTAGGTCACCTGGAGCAGTATGAGAAACAGACGATCCTGAATTTGGGCGTAAAAATTGATTCTGGTCTGAAGTTTG